TGTGAAAATGTCAAACTACTATTTCATTGACCCAAAATTAATGTCATTCTGTTATCTATCTGAAAATTAATATTACTTGGCTTGATTTGAACTTTGACTAAAAATTTTATTTGACTAAAATGTGCTATGATTAATGGATTTTGGTTGTTGGATTAGATTAGAAAATTTTATTAAGGTAAATTATAATTGTAATTCTTATATTGTGTTGCTTGTATTATTTTGATTTCTACGTTTAATTGATTCGATTTTGACCTTTGATTTTAAATTTTGCGTCATTTTAATCCAATTGATAATATCATTTATGTTTGTTTGTTTCATATGCTTTCATATAGATTGTCATTTCTGTTTGTTTCATATGCTTTCTGTTGACATAAATTCCATAGATAGAACACTTAAACATAAATTCTCTTATGTTTGGTGCAAACAAGACAAAGGTGTGGAAATTATGATGGGTGAATATTTTCCCCAAAACCTGAACACTTTAAGTAATGGCATAGATTTCTTCTGAACTGCAGCTTATGCCATTACTTAAATTTGAAAAAATTGTCAACTTATTTTCATCACAGAATTTCCTTATAGAGGGTATGATCACTTTGATTACTTCCTTCTAGATTTAAGTACTAATATTTACTTGTTCTTAGATTTTGAATCCAAAAATAGGTTGTGGTTGAGACGGGGCAACAGCTAGTACTAATTGCTTAATTGTGGTTTAGCTTTGAGCATTGATGAATGATCATCAAAGATGATATTGGAGACGAGTGATGTGTTTAAGCTTGAGGTGTAGTTTGGTGGTTGGGCAGAATCATAATGAAATGGATTGATGTATATAGTTAAAAGATTTATAGTTTTAGGATGCCAATGCAGGGTTGATGTATATATATAAAATTATACTAAAACAACCCTTATATTCCAATTTGTGTTGATTTATTTGTGTGCCCAAGAAAGGTTAATTACATTGCCCAACACCTTGACCTTCCTTCTGTCAAGGCAGATGGGAACCTGCCTCCGCTCTTAATTATCAATATTCAAGTTTTATTTCCACATCTCTTGTTCATTTATGTATTTTCTATTTACACTAGTTACTCTGCACATGAATGCCATGTTGTTCTGGTGGAATATAGATATTAAATTTCATTAGTTTAAATTCAAAGTTTGGCTACTGAGCAATTTCTCATCATTTATCTATTGGCTTATTGTATTTTGTCGCAGTTGCCTACTTATCCTGCTCCAATGTTCCTTGGTGATAGTGATGGCGTGGGCTTGAGTCTTGTCCTCTATTTCAAACTTTCTGAAAGTTTTGAGACAGACATCTCTCCCCAATTTCTGGACGGCATCAAGGTAATTTACTTTGAATATCTCTTCCTAGACTGGTAGCCTAATACTTGCATTTTCCCTTTGCTGGAGTGGAAGCTTATTATAAATTTTGATAAGATGAAACACTTGGCGATTTACTTGTCATTAGAAAATAATAATAATAATAAGATGATACACTTGGTCTTACTCCTGTCCTCTTGACCTGTGGTACCTTATCTGTTGTTTCCTTCTGCTGGAAATCAAACTACAAGTTAATGGATAGGATGCCTCCAATATTGTTGGATCAAGTGAGCATATATTAAATTGGAAAAAATTGTGTTCACTGGAATACCGTGCATAATGCTTTGGCTCAGTTTATAAATGAAGTTTACAACTGTTGCCTAATTTTTTGATTCCTGTAATGCACCTGCAACAATTTTGGTTTAGTATAATTTTGGTATTAGTATAATTTTGGTTTCCTAAATTTGAATGGAATGAAGCCATGAAAGAATCAGATAAATTGAAGGGTATTTTTAAACTATCACATAACAGTAATAACACTTCTGAAAAATCTAGAAATCCCCTAGATGTTGATTTGTGATTATGTATCAATTTTAAGAAGAATATAACAATCTCAATTAAACAATCAAGAAAGATCGACACAACGATTTTACGTGGAAAAATCACAATTGGACACCTCCAATCGTGATCAAAAAACCACGGGCAACAGCCACAAGACAATCCACTAAGGAGATTTAAAGGAATTACACAGGTATACTCTCAATTACCTAGCGAATCCACGCCCGAATTGAACGAACCTCTATGTGTCTCTTCCAACCCCGTTTTCACCTTGAAATTGTCTTTACGATGAGCCACTCCAGAATCCCCAAAGCTTCAGGATCGAATTCTTCAGAATCCACCGAAGAACAACTCTCTCTTTTGTGTAGAATAAACGAACAAACCTTTGATGTATAATCTTTAAACCATGAGTTGAATACTCAAACAAAACATCAAAGAAAACTAGCAAAATATCCCCAGATATAAACCTTAGAACCCAAGAAGAAGATCTGGAGTAGTTATCCTAGATTTGGATTGAAAACACGTATTTATAGAAAACTGTCCCGCGATCTCCGCTCGAGCGCCCAACAACCCGCTCGAGCAGCTTCAGCAAAATATGCGTGTGAAAAAACAGAGGTCTGCTCGAGCGCTTGAGAACCCGCTCAAGCGTGAAATCACACCTTCCAGTATTTTTACAAACCTGACAAACTTCTGAAACCCAGCATTCTCCACTCGAGCGGACAGGCAATTTTGAATGTATTTTTGCATTTTGCTTCGGGGGCGATGCCCCTTGATCCCGCCGTGGCGGTGCCTCGGACCCACCAAGGGGCGCTGCCCTCTCGACCCCCGCGAGCTGACCGGGCAACTCGATCCCCGTCATAATCAGAGAAGTGGCAATCTTGAAAGCATTAGCATCACAAACTTCTCTGAAAGGCACACTTCGGGTTGGATTCGCATCTAAACACTCATAGCCTCACTGAAATAAAAGTGCGAAAATAAATACAACTGAAAGGAGTTTTGCCAAACGGGGTTGCCAAGAATAAAACCTAACAACTTCAATAGTTATTTATGATAAGTAACATTTATGGTGCTTGATGAAACATAACTTTTAACATGAATTAATGTCAACATTTATAAATAAAAATAAAATGGATCTAATAGAAAATATGAAGACCTTTACAAATAAAAATAAATAAATAAAGCGTATCTAATAGAAATAGGAGTGTGAGTATGGCCACCCTTCCAGAGTTAAATATAATGGATGATGTGGCATTTGCAGTTGTATTCTAGAAGACCAAATCTCATTAATATAATGGAGTATGAATATAACCAAGTCTCTTTTAGATAATCTGCAATATTATTATTTTTCTAATGCTTTGATGTTAATCAAGGATTAGCAACGTACATTATGATAGATCATTAAAATTTGAATAATATATTGTATTCTTAAAATATATTGCATTCTTCTCTTTGACAAAGAGCATCTCATTAAACTAACTAAATTTTTAGTCAAATTTTAGTTAGAAAGGTACTTTTCTATTTTTAAATAGTCATTTTTTAAATACATTATGAACAATCTCTCTATTCACTTTGAATATTTCCTTAGATATGAAGTAATCTTTTATTAATGTTTCACTAGCCAATAACAAATGCTACTATAGTTGGCTTGATAGTTTTATGGGGTTGAATTTTTTACGATTGACTATTTATTTTAAAAAAATAAAATAATTAACTTGATAGAGGTACTTACTCTTAATCAAGGTTTTTCTAATGGTTATGATTGTAATTCTTTCTACAACATAAGATGGCTTCAGATTTGTCAAGTTAGCCACGAAAAAGGTGGCAGCCCACATCACTCCTTTTCTTCTTTAATTAATCATCAGTATATTTTGTACGACAATAATCAATATGGGCAACTATATGCATATGAAGGTTCACTTCTATCCCAAATAACCAATTCTTCTCATTCTCCTATCTAGGAAGATGGATGAGAAGAAAGAATTTGTTAATTTATCTTCTATGATGCTCTTTGAGGCCACAAATGATTCAGAGGCCATTTCTAAGCTAAATATAGCTGCAGTAGATGCAGAGCTGATGGGTGCAGCGGAAGATGATGCATTCTCATGCAGTTGTGATGACTTGATAGACTGTGAGCTTGGCAAGTTTAATGGCCTAGGGCATACCCATGTTGAAGTTTATCGTGTTGCTGATCATGGTGATGAAGAGGAGGAAGATATTGATCAAGATTGGACTGATGGTAGTGATGATGAAGTGGTGATGAGCAGCACTGCAAAAGCAAGGGAACACAAGAAATTGAGGGTTTATGTAGATTCAGCCATGGAATTGATGAATGAAGTAGTGATGAGCATTATATTTCCAGCTGCTTTATTCTTAATTTTTTCAATTGTGAATACATGAATTTGTAAATTATATGTTCTTGAAGATGTTTTTGATCTAATTTTGCTGTTGTTTTGTTACTATTTTTGTGGTGTTTTTGCTACTATTTTGCTGCTATTTTGTGCTGTATTTTCTCTACATTGCTAATTATTTATACATATATATATATAAGGCATATAATTAAAGTGATAACCATATAATTAAAAGGCATATAGAATTATAAAATTACACATAAATTAAAAGCATTTACTGATTACATTCAAAACTAATAGCATACTATATAAAATGAAACTTCAAATTCAAAACTTTTACAACTCGCTGTGTAATTGCCACAAGTGTTCGACAATGTCCGATTGGAGATGAGAATGTGTTTGCCTATCTCTAATATTATGATGACATTGAATGAATTCCATAAGTTCAGTAGTTCTCTTCTGTAACACTGTTACATGGGGACTGTCATCGATTTGGTCTTAATTGAAGTCTTTTACTCCATTGTCATCCCGCTCATCCTCAATGATCATATTATGTAGAATTATGCACGCCTTCATAATATATTTAAGCATTTAAGTATTCCAAAAACGTGCCGGTTGACGCATAATTGCAAATCGTGCTTGAAGCACTCCAAATGCACGTTCTACATCTTTTCTTGTCACCTCTTGAGCTACAGCAAAAAGTTTTTTCTTATTTCCTTGAGGAGAAGGAATTGTTTTCACAAATGTTAACCATTGTGGATATATACCATCGGCGAGGTATTATCCCATTGTATGTTCATTGCCATTGATGGTGTAATTGACTGCAGGAGCACGCCTTTGAGCAAGTTCGGTAAATACAAAAGACCTTTCTAGCACGTTGATATCATTATGAGACCCAGGTAATCCAAAAAATGCATGCCAAATCCAAAGATCATATGATGCAACAGCTTCCAAAATAATTGTTGGTTCATGAATGTGACTAGTATACATACATTTCAACGCAGTCGGACAGTTTTTCCATTTCCAATGCATACAATCAATGCTCTCCAGCATTCCAGGAAATCCACGACTTTCACCAACCGCTAGTAGTTTAGCGATGTCATTACTGTTTGGTGACCTCAAATACTCATTAGAAAAAATATCAACAACTGCTTTAACAAAATATCAACAGTTATCTTCTGAAGAGAAGACAAACCAAGCTTTCCAGCACAATTTCTTTTTTGGAGAAAGTATGGATCGTGCGCTTCTACTGCAGCTTGAATTCGAAGAAAAAGTGAACGCTTCATCCGAAACCTCCTTCGAAATAGCTCAGGAGGATATACAGGCAATTCAGCAAAATAGTCGAGAAAAAACCTTTCATGACCTTCAATATGATCACGATGAATGACTTTACGACCTCGAACAGAACCACGACATGAGCTTGATTCTATCTCACTATCTAGTAGTTCTTCATCCATAGTAACAGCTTTGAGCATCTCCAAATCATCATCAGATTCAGAGAAGTCAGAGTCATTTACAAGCATATCATAAAGAGAATTGGAAGCCATAGAGAGAGATATGGAAGTTTGGATGAAGTAGAAAATTGAGTTGAGGGTAAGATCAAATGATAGGGAATGTCTTATTTATAATAGAAAAGTATAAAAATATGACCATTGCAAAAATATGACCGTTGCAAAAATATAACCGTTGTAAAAATGTGAAAAAATATAACCGTTACAAAAATATGACCGTTGAAAAAATATGACCATTTGAAAAATACGATAGTAGAAAAATGTAACTTTCACAAAAATATAATTATATTTAGAAGAATGAAAAAAATAATAATTTGAAAGAAGTTAGTTTTTTTTTTTTTTTTTTAGATTGGAAAGAAGGTAGTTAAAGTATAAGAATATTTTAATAGAAGCTAAAGTAGATAGTCTTGTTGGAGTGTATATTAAAAAAATGACTAGCTAAAATAGTAAAGTGAAATTTTGAATAGCTATTTTAACTATTCTTACTGGAGATGCTCTAAATGCCCACTTGTTGAATAGAAAATAGCAGAATTGCCACTAACAAAATGCGAGATAAGTTTTTTAGGTTAAGTCTCATTTAGAAAAAAATTATTTTAGTAGTTTTTTAATCTGTTATAAAATAATGTATATAATAATAGAAAGAATAATGTGATAATTTATAATAATTTTTTAATTTTTTTGTTAAAATATTTAGTCTCCAAATAAGGTCTAAGTGCACTTCAATTGCATCATATCACCTCTCTATTTTTTTATATATTTTTTTCAAAAAAAATCAAAAAATTAATTTCCAACCAACTTCTCAAAAAAGCCATTAAGTACCACTCTCCCACCATATATGGAACTAATAATCTTTTTTAAAGGTGAGTCGTTATGTTTTAGCCATAAATTTGTAGAAAATTTTCAAATTAGTATACAATTTTTAGAGAAATTTCAAATTAATACTTTAACTTATAATTTTTTCATAAACATATGATAATTTTTTCAAATTATCATTGTTACGTAATTTTTCCTAAATTTTTTTGTTATATAATTAGTTTGAAACTCTAACTGATGGCATTTTGAGATATAATGTTATTATTAATATGTGATATCATTATTTAATAATAAACTCATACGTGTAGATTAACCTGTGATATAACAAACTCATACATGTGATATTCACATGTAGATTAACCTGTGATATAATAAACTCATACATGTGATATAACCTGAAATGTATGCATTTAATTTTTTTTGGACTTGGATAACTAGATTATGAGTCTTATTTCATTAGTCTAAATTATTTATATTGTGAGTTTATCTGTATAAATTAATTAAAACTTTAATTTTATAATTATAAATATTTAATTTGTTTGTATTTATTTATTTATAAAAGGACCCACAATACATTTTAAAATGTATAGTTGGAGTTCTTTTAAAAATAAATATATTAAATTGTTTGATTATACTTTGTAAACGAATCTTATTTATTCAATCTAAAATAAACAAAAAAATAATGCAAATCATATTTAACATTTTTAGACTTCTTAATATGTGTTATAAAAACATAAATTAAAAAAATTCTTTATAAAATAAATATAAATTTCATTGATGAGTAATATATCCGTATATATTAACCTTTTTAATTATAAAAATCGTAAAAGTATAAAAGACATAGTATTTTTATAAATCAATCCAAATCAATCCTTAAATCTTATTAAATGGGATCAAAATACATAGTACCAATAAAAAATACATATGAAAAAAGGAAAATTTACCCATAAGTCCTAGTTTTTGAAACGTTGAACCATTTAGTCCTAAAAGTTTTCTTATGCTCCATTTAGTCCCATTTTTACATCAACATGATGTGAATGATGTAAATGATCTGATGTTTCATTCTATAATTTCAAAATTTATTGAAATCTGATGAACATTAGATGTTTTTCATCCTATATTTTCAAACATTATTGAAATTTGATGAACATTAGATGTTTGAAATCCAATGTTTGTAACATGACTCTGATGTTATTAACATTGTATCTGATGTTATTAACATTGTAATGGGACCTTTCAGTCTATAAGAAAACTTTTAGGACCAAACAGTGCATAAGTTATTAATTTAAGATTTATTGGTGCATCCCCCATGAAAAAATAATTCTTAAAATAAAAAATGAATTTTTTAATAATATTTTAAGATAAAATTTAAATAAATTGATAAAAATACTCTAAATTAATTAAGATACAAACACTTAAAAAATAAATTTCTAATAAATCTAAGTACCAACATAATAGAATTGAAAATGAATAAAAGTTGTTGTTGTAATTATTATACTATTAGCTGCCCCGTGGGCCACCGCATCACCACACTACACTACAGTCATGTTTGTTTAGGCGAACTGAATTAGTATTTTCATAATTAATAATTTTAAGATTACGAATCTGTTAGATTATGTATTCTATTTTAATTAATAGTCAAATTTAAAATAATTAATCCGTACTTCAATTATTTAACTAAATATCAAATTAATAATTTTATTAGACTATTAAACCAATTCCAAGTTCATATTCATCCAACCAAACATGACCAACAGTCTTTCTTCCCCGGGTTCTTATAAACCGTACGTACTTTCAACCCAATATGTGTACGTGCGTCGTCCGATCATTTGATCCAAGATATAGACGGTGTGGATCTCAGAAGGACCAACTCCTCAGCACTCCCAAGTTCCAACCCATGCCCCATTACTCTCTCTCTCTCTATCTAGCACTTTCTCTCTACAGTATGCATGCTTGTGGCGTCGGTGCAGCTTTGTTTAGTTGCCAGCTAAGAAGAGTCAAGAGCCTCTCCTTGCAAGCTTGTGCTTGCGTCCGTCCTTGCAGGCCTTCGGGTCTACTTTTAGGTCCAATACAGTATGCATGCTTGTGGCGTCGGTGCAGCTTTGTTTAGTTGCCAGCTAAGAAAACATCATAATGAGGTCATTTTGGGCAAAGTAAAAAAATAATGATAAAGATCGCAAATGTTTTATTAAATATTTTAGGATAAATTATATTGACACCTCTTAAGTTTTAGTCTAATTACTACTCATCTCTTGATATTTTAAAAATTATATTTTCACCCCTGTAGTTAATAGTTTCATTTTACAAATCCCTTACTTATATAAAATGTAATAACTCTTAATAGAAAAATAAAGAAAATTGCATTTTAAAAAAAAGTAAAGAAAAGGTGAAAAAAAGATAAAGTAAAGCAAAGAAAAAAAAAAAAAAAGAGTGCATGAATCCAATGTCTTCATTCTGTCTAAATAATTACAATGACAGAGAATTAATATAATTTCCCAAACGTCAGGGTGTGATATGTATTAAACTCAAATCTCAAAGGTGTAAGTGTAATTTACCCAATATTTTATAGAGGTGTAGGATTTATATGGGATTCATATAGGATAGTTCCTATATCTATATAAGATATTTGGTAAAATATTTAAGTCCAAATTTTTTCTAAAATTAAATAAGCACTCCTCTACTCTTTTCACATATCTTTTAGTAATAAATAAAAACAATCAATATGTAAGCCTTCATTTGTCGTATAGTTTTTTTTAGGGTTTTTTATTAAAATAATTATAAAAAGATAAAATAAATTAAAAAATTAATAAAATAAAATATCACATCTAAATTATAATTATTTTATTTTTTCTCTTGTAAGGGTCAAAAAAAAATTAAAAAAATTATCACAAAAGAGACTTTTTGGCCCCAGATTAAAATAATCAAAAAACCTGAATTTGATGTAATGTTTAAAAATTTTATTTTCACACACTTACTTACCTCAGTACACACTATTTCTCAATACACACATTCATAAATTTAATTAGATATATATCAATTTTAACCCTTAATTCAAATATCATACACCTCAAACACACACCCACACAATCACCGAAAACTAGCAGCTAGCTTCTGATGAACCAAGTCATAGATCTTTGTATCTAGCTTCCGATGAACCAAGCCATAGATCTCTCTCTCTCTCTCTCTCTCAGTGTCACATACATACATTGAACATGCGGAAGCAGTCTCTCGGCTCACCGAATTCCAAGCTCCATAGCCATCGAGAAATTGTTGGAAAGAAGGAAGATAGCCTCTCAGGAGAAGACCAGAAGCATAAGAACCATGCTTGTTCGCTCACCACTGCCAACAACAAAGACAACGACAAGAAGAGACTGTCGGAAGCAAAGCAAAGCTCGCCGGTACTTGTTTTCCAAACAAAATTATTTTTTTCAGTTCTTAACTTTCGAAAATTTCCTAAAATTTCAAAACTTAATTTCCAAATGTAATTATTTTTTTCGATTTGAATATTGTTTTTCAAACAAAAATAATAATTTCAACAGTTGATTTTCAACCAAAAAAAATGATCACTGGTTTGCGGAAGAGAGCTTTCCTCTAGAAATTTGAGAAGCCAAATTGAAGAAGAAATCAACAAAATAATGAAAACGATAATGCTACGTAGCTCAAATTTTGTGGCTCAAAAGTGGCTCAAATGGCCAAAACGACGTCGTTTTGAGTACAGAACAACATAAAAATGGCCAAAACGACGTCGTTTTGGCCATTTGAGCCACTTTTGAGCCACAAAATTTGAGCTACGAGACATTTTCCTAATAAAAAAGGGGTATAGGATAGAAGGATTGGAATGAAATAAAGAATGAAGTCAATGAGATGAGTGGAGTTACCTGAAAAAGGCAGGAAGGTCATGGTAAAAAGGACCACGGACAATGGTGTCCGTTACATCGAACAGCAACCCCAGTAGACTTCTATTTCTATTTTTGTTAATGTCAAAGCTGTAATTGTTGTTGATGTTGAAATTATTGAGTGTCATTGCTGAAATTATTGTTGTTATTTGTTTATTATGGTTATTTTATTTTAGGATATAATTATTATTAAAATAAAATTTTATTAAGTGTGTATATTGAGATAATTAGGTGTGTCAAAATAGAATTTCTTGTAATGTTTTGTTTTATTGGGTTAAAAAACTTATTTTATCTTTTTTTTTGGGCTAAAATAGCCCCAAACCCACACAACCTTCATTCAAATGAAATCTTAATATGTATTTTTTCCAAACGTAACACTCATAATTTGAAATTATACATTTGCACAAAACTTTATAAAATATTTGTATTCCTTTTAACATGGTTTGAAGAATCTCACATGTTTTATTTTAATATTAATTTGGAGTGTTATGTTCAGGAAGTACACAGAGGAATTTTTTTTTTTTTGGTTACATTAAAGTTTTACACTAAAGAGTTTTTGGAATGCTATATTGAAGTGTTAAGTTTGAAAAAAAATATACTAAGAAGTTTTTTTTGTGTATTACATTAGAGTGATACAATAAGAATTTTTTATGTTATATTAGAGTGTTACACTAAAGAATTTTTTTAAAGTATTATATTAGAGTGTTACGTTTAAAAAAAAATACATTAAGGAGTTTTTGTGTGTATTATATTAAAATGTTACACTAAGAATTTTTTTTGTGTTATATTATAATGTTATACTAAAGAGTTTTTTTAGAATGTTATGTTTTAGAAAAATACAGTAAGAAATTTTTTCTGTCATAATTTTTATATATTCTCACTAAAACTTACAATTAGTGACTTTTTTTATGACAAATTTTTCTCATAAAACCTATTAAACAATAAGTCCACTTATTAGGACCTATACGTAAGCACTCTTAAAAATTAATCCAAAATTTGATTCGCATATTACCTTTCTAGCACAAAAGAAAAAAGAGAAGAAACATAATAGAAATAAGGGTAGAATCGCAAATTTAATTTTTAAATAATATATTAAATCTACACTTTTAAAATCAATAGGACTAATTGGTCTATAAAAATATCTTTAAGACTAAATGGATCACAATTTCTCAATATGAGATTTATAAGTAAATTTTGCGTGGCCTTTAATCACATTTTAATTGAAACAATTGAGGTATTGGTTTTTTTTTTTAATTTTTTTTTAATAGTCAAAAATCAAAACCTCCAATCATATCATTCTCTTTATTTTTTTATAAAAGGACTAATTGGTCTATAAAAATATCTTTAAGACTAAATGGATCACAATTTCTCAATATGAGATTTATAAGTAAATTTTGCGTGGCCTTTAATCACATTTTAATTGAAACAATTGAGGTATTGGTTTTTTTTTTAATTTTTTTTAATAGTCAAAAATCAAAACCTCCAATCATATCATTCTCTTTATTTTTTTATAAAAAAATTTTAAAAATCAACTAAAACAGTTACTTCCCAAACACTCCGAGTCGATAGACTTCAAATCGATTTTCGATGTAATTCCCATTTTGCTCCACTATTTAAAATTTAAATAAAAAATTAAAAATTTTGTTAGGAAATTTTTTTCAAAGTGGTTGTATCTCAATTAGTCCATAATATATTATTATATTCTAATAAATCTTATTATTTAGACATTTAATCCACCAAATCCTAATTCTCATATTTAAGATGTTTTATGAACAATTTTATCCATACAAATATTTTTTAAATAGTTAGCAACTTTGTGATGTGAATATTCATATTTTACAATGTGAATATTCGCATTGACAGTGTAAATGTTCACATCACAGAACATTCACACTGTTAATGTGAATATTATTATGAATATTTTGAGAATTATGTCGCCCATAGGACTTATTGAAACATATGAGTGTTGATTTCTGACCTCACAACCAAACATGAAACTTAGTTGAAGAACACGTAACAGAATAGATTAAATTAAACACCTACACACAAGAAAATGAGAATAGCACAGTGGCTCATCCACTCAGGGACACTGCACCGATCAAGTCAGTCGACAATCTCAAGTGATCTCAACTCAATAAATCAATGCACAAGTAAAAACATATCTTAGACCCACCGAGAGGGGTGTTACTTTTATAACCAATAATGTCCTCATTCTTTAGCAATCTCACTTTGTAGGACTCAAGCACATTGCTTATCTCGGACTCTTAATTAGATGTGGATGAACTTCTCAAGAGTCTCACCCTTATAGGAACTAAGCAACTCAATTATATAGGACTCTTGTCCTTTATCCATGTTAGAAATTGGCCGCCCATGTGGCATGACCCATGACTCTTTTGAACCTTATCTATGTAAGTTTTGAATTTGAATTCAAAACCTGTTTGAATAACCCACTCTTAATATCTATATCTATCATATCAACTGATATGGATAGATTGATATATATGGTTATATATCTTATTATATATTTGAATAATACATTGATATCAAATACGTTATGTGGTTTTTGCCCATAACATTTTTTATATACTCTCTCTGACTCTCTCCCATTAAAGAATAACAATCAAGTTTTTTGCACTGTGACTTATGTAGGTAATACTCATATTGTGGTATCACACCACTATTGGCTGTTCGTTGTTCGCTGTTCGCGTTTTTTAAAGCACGTGATTTATCGACAAGATTCTTCGCTTCAGGTTCTATCACTTAAGGTATGATCTGATAATTTTTACCTGCTGCGTTATACTTGTTTTATATTGGTATCAGAGCCTTAAAGGGTATTTTCATGCTTATTTTTATACATTAAAATAGGTGCATAATTTTATATAAATATATACACGATATATGCATGAAAATTAATAATTTTTCAAACTATCTCTGATCGACCTAAAATTTATATGTTGTAGTATATTTAATGTAGAACATATCTGCAAAGCTTCATGAAAATCCAACGGTTAGATTTCAAGAAAAATGGAGACCAATTTTATATTTTTGAAACTTTACATGCATGATGGTTTTACATGTTTTAGTTTCAATCTGCAAATCTTACATATTTAGAATCCTTATTTTGAGACCTTCGAAACCATATATTATTTGTTAGATTTCGATTTACGGTTGATGAGATACATCAAACCCTAATTTGGGTTCGTTTTGATTTTTTGATGGCTTGAGAAGGAAGATGAAGTGCAGCATTTCTGCACTTCCACTTTTCATTAGAGAGAGAGAGTATAATACACCTCTTAATTTTTGTTCATTAAATATTATTTTTAAGACCATAAATGTTTTTATTTTGAAAAATGAAGTCCGGAAGTACCAAAATCGGATCAGAAAATACCTTGGAACGCGGCGCGTGAGTCGTACGCGCCATCTGATGACGTCAGCGCCACCACGCGTCATCACGCGCCTCCACGTGCCATCACGCGCGCGTCAACCGCGTTGTCCACGCCCGCGCTGTCCGCGTCTTCCACGCACGTGTCTTGCGCTGTCCACGCGCGCACCGCACCGTTTTCCGCGCCGGCTTGGCGGGTTTGGCAGCTAGGTACAAGGTTCTGTTTGTTTGTTTTAAAATTCAAAATTGCTTTAAATGGTCATAAGTAATTCGTTATAGCTTTGTTTTAAGCGTGGTTGGTACTGTTAGACTCAGAATTAATTTTTCTATCTTCTGTAAAATTTTCAAAATTTTATGAAAATAAAAAATATTTTTCCTGAAATAATAATTCATTATTTTTACTTTAAAATGCCTCTGGTGTTACATGATTAAGTTTTTGGAGCTGAAATTTTTACTATAGAGCACTGTAATGGTTTACTATTTACTGGTATAGTTGTTGCATTTTCCGAGATTCTGGAATGTTTATTTATGTTTTCATCTGTGTTTATTAATTATTTAAAATTCCAGAAAATACCAAACAATTCCAGAAAGTTTCAGAAGTGATATACTTTCTGTTATGGCATAATCTGAATATTAAATACAGTATATTGTTATTTTTTACCTAGAGTTTCTAATATGTTGTGATTCGAATAGCATAATTAATTATTTATTTATTTAAATTCCATTATTAATTGTAACATAGCATGAGTTGATTGTGAATCTACATTATAATGTTATTATATGCAATTAGAATATTTTATCATGCTTTTAGATATGCCATAGTTAGTGGGAGGTTGTTCAGTTGAGAGAAATCTTTGTAGATTTACTCCCGAAAACTAATATTTTGCGCATAAATTAAATTAAATTTTGGATAATTATCACCTATGGCGCAAGAGATGATTGCGAGCATAGCGGATTTTCGATCTTGCGACTTGTGTAATATTGTCACTATTTAATTTAGATTTTTGTGACAAAATTATATTATGGTAATTAAATTAATCCCAATGCGTATTTCTCTCTAAATTGACTTAGCTTATGAAAGTTAATTTGGTGGACCTAGACTTAGTAGAGATGTTCAAATGTGAACAATGTAATCGTATTCTTTAGATGAGCAAAAGTCTTGGAGACTTTAGGTCAGACCTTAATTGAGCCAAAATAAAGAAACATGACTCAAAGTCACCATGGTTTTGTTGCTTTGTTTGACACAATAAAAATTGATGTGTGTGCTATGGTTAGCGGCACGTTACGTAGCTTTGATTGGCGAGTTTTGGAGTTATGAAATTAGTAAGCCCTCAATAGATCTGTATATGATCTTGATTATTGAGTTACGCGGATTGACTTTGTAATTCGACTTGTAATGATGTTGCATCATTGGATAAAGTAACATTTAAGATTCACGTCATCCAAGAAATGCGAGCTTAAATGAGTTAGTCATTAAGTGTAAGACGAGTAGCCAGTATGAGTAGTGTTTTGCTCTCTACCTAATTATTGGAAGTGGATGGAGCAAAATTTCATGCACTATAATAGTGTGTATTGAAGTATCACTTGAAGTTAAAAAGATTAGAGCTTTGTAGTAGCAAAATCTATTAACACTAAGTGAAAAGATTAGCGCCAAATGGCTGCAAAATCTATTAGCATTGCCAACTTGTCTAAGTCTGACACTTACAGTTTCCACAATTAAGTGTGAGACATGAGAAGGTGCTTCTTTGTATGATTCCTTAGCTAGGCTAACATTTTTTTAATAACGTTTACCACTAAGCGCAAACGTTGCAACATAATAATGAAAAGGTCAAGGCCGACATGGTTATAATGACTCTAAGATTTTGACACATCGCTTGTGAGAGCATTGGGTTGAATTAGACTCTTTAGCATAATTCGCGCTTAAGTTACTTTAGGAGCTGTCATAGATTAATAGCTTATTCTCTCCTTCTTATGGATAGTAGAATTAATTGCAAGTAACTATGAAGTAAGAAACAGAGATGGCAAGAGGAGTATCATCATCTTTCAACTAGATACAGTAAAGTGTATGGAGAATAAAATTGACTTGAAGGTGCAGGGGATTAGCACTTACTAGTTAGATTTGCGACTTAGGCACACTTGATATCTCCATGACATCCTTTTATGATCTAGTGAACATGAATTAGTCGTGAGTCATTACCTAGTGGGCCTAAACCTTTTTTTTTTAAACTTGTCTTCGAGAACTCACACATTAGAATGATTGGAATTAGTTTATGACATTGGACATAAACCAGTGGTTTGTTATACTTAATCACATTAATGAGAAGATGACATGGATGGTTTGAGTAGGCCCTCTCAGGCCCACTCGCTTGTGACATCCTACTCTCATATGAATGTGTAACTTTGTTCGCAATGGTTGCGCACAAGTAAATAGGAAAGCCGTAGAAGATCATTTGTATTGGCGCATTTAGTCCACTATGATATTTGTGACTAGATATGTTGTAACAACCCCGACCCATGATTAATGCTAATTTGTACTTAATTATGTCTAACAGTAATCTAGGAGGGATTTGGAATTAATTTGCATGTGTATTGCATTATTTTTATGTCTCTATATGTTCGGTGTAGAAAGATATATTCATGTTTTAGTTTCGGTTTGTGAATTGAAAGCCTAATCGGCGTCCGAATCAGAAATTGACTTGAATTATGTGCTAATTGGGATTTATAGAATTTTATGGTCGGTTTAATTAAAATTCGGTTCGGAACGATTAAATTAGATAAAATTAATATGCACCAATCAACTACACTTGTATCCAAGCCTACTTAAGGCACTAATTGAGCCCACTCACTCCTTTTTCTTGATTCCATCACATTTTGTGCTTGTCCAAGAGAGACAAACTGGTGAGAGAATGAGAGAATGGAGAATTGGTGTAGAGCTTGAAGATTGAATTCACAAGGAGGGGATTGCTAGGAAAACTTGGAAGATCACTCAAGACCCTCTCTAGCATAAGGAATTGAGATCCCTAGGTAAGAATGTTAATCTCTAGCCTTGAAGTTTGGTTGATTAGAGCATGAAATTAATGGTGTTAGGTGGATTTACATGGGAATTGAGCTACAAGAGTGGAATTAAGAGTGAATTCATGCATGCGTGTGCATTTCTTTACATTTTGAGCATGATTTCAAAGGTTTCTTTCATGCATGTGTTAACCTCACTTACATTTTGGTCATTTTTCATGTTTTCCAATAAATTACCAAGTTTGATTATGTGTTGGAGTGTTTGAATTCAAGGAAGGTCTTGCATGTTGTATTAATGACATATTCATAGAGTTTGTGTTGGAATTTTGTATAATTGGCATGTTTTTGGGCCATGATTTCTTGAAATAATGCTTTAAACATGTTGCTTTATGAGTTACTAAGTGTTTTCCAAAGTTTTGGGCCTAGAAAATCAAGTTTGATGCATTTGAAGTTGAGTTTGAGCTTGGTGATCGAATCTGGGATTTCCAGAAATTTGATCCACGCTCTAGCGGTGGACTTCACGCTCAAACGTGCACTCTGAGTACATGCACCTCCGCTCGAGTGTTTAAGGTTACGCTCGAGCGTGAAATGCATATACCCAGAAGTTTGTATGTTTTACAGTCCGCTCGAGCGAGGTTTTGAGTCTCACGCTCGAGCGTAGGTCGAGCGCCCGTCGAGCGTGAAAATCGTGCATCCAGTACTTTTTAAGAGTTTACAGTCCGCTAGAGTGGAGAAAGTCACGCTCGAGCGGAGCTTCATTGTCTACATGTCCGCTCAAGCGTGGACCTTATTTTCAGCAAGTTTTGAGAAATATTTTCCAATGCATTCTTGCATCCTCATTCCATCCTAGGCATTCCTAAGCCATGTTTAAGATTCCATAATGAGGATTAAAGGTTAGAAACACACTAAGAGCCAACGAAGTAAGTTATGTACAATTAGAACGTGTGTTTTAAGTGTGCGTCTGTTATGTGTTATGTAGGTCACGTGCCGCGTACCGTTGACCAATCTGCTCCGTCTATCTATCTCAAGGCCAACTGTGAATAATAACGTAGTAAAGTTATGTTCAACTGTATTTATTTTCTGCGTGATAAATAAGATCTGTTTTTTTGAAATGCTATGTTCTGTACAATGAATGATTGTCCAATTTCTGATATATATTCGTGACATCCTTAGCATCATGTGATATCTGTTGGCTGTTACCCGATATCGGAGGTTCCATCATGGAACTTAATCTGTCTGCACTCTGTTACCCGTACCGGAGGCTCTATCATGGGGCTCAACGTATTTATTCTCTGTTACCTGGATCCGGAGGTTCCTTTATGGAACTGGTTATTCGTAACCCTCACGTGCCTGTATCTGTTCTATATCTGCTCTGTTAATGCTAAGGGATGTATCACGTATACTTAAGCATACCTCATGATTTCTGTATATGATTTGGACAAATTATGAATTTGATACGAAACTGAATTACGATTTCTAAATTTATGCGGACTCATTCATTGAAACTCCTTTACTCTGTTATTGTTCACTGAGCTTTCGTTTACAGTTTATATTATGCATGTAGGTGAGCCGGCGCATAATTAGGGCCAGAGTTGACGGCCTTCATTTCTGTTTTTGTCAGCCAACCGTTGTGCCTCCTAAGGAGGTTCCGATCGAAGTCTAGTTGCATGGTTGTTTTTGTACTTATGCTAGTCTTTGTCTGTTTTGTAAAGTCAGGTCCTGGGAATTACACTTTTGTAGATGTTTTGTAAATATTGATGTCCTTCGACCGAGACGCTTATGTATATTCAAGTTTTGAAAACTTCTGTCTCATGTATGTTATCATAGCTCATTGGACCTTGTCTATTCTGTATAATTGCTTCTGTAGCCCCTTACTATGTGCTTATCTGTTAAGAGGCCTTTGGTAATCTACGGATTACTAGCCCGTTACGATGCTAAACCTACAGAGGCGGGTTTAGGTCGTGACATATGTGTAAGAGTATGATAGCTAAGCCTCAATCTCGACACATTTATAGATTACGATACGCATCTGAGTCAAGACTATTTGATCTCACATAAGTCAAAAGTTTTGAGATGATTTTTAACATTGCATATATGAGGTTGAGATCAATTAGATAATAATTTTCGTGCTTTTAGTTTTGACCGAGGTAGCGAGTATCTATTTGAGTTATTTTAGAAAACTCTGTGAAGAGAAATGGATGTTTAGAAAATTGATTATTCCTAGTACTTAACAACACAATGGTGTAGTAGAGATAATGAATTAAATATTGTTAATGTTAGGTAGATGATGGCGCAAAATATTCCCAATTGGGAATTACACTAATTTGTTGCCTATATCTCTAACTAAGTGCCCTTCATATCAAATTTTACACTCCATTTGAGTAATGGGTTAGTGGAGAGCCATCTATGGGCGATCTGTAACCGTTAAGCAGCTTATCTTTATTTTACTTCTCATAAAGTTACGAAATTAAGACCTAGGGTTCCATAATGCATTATTGTATGCTGTCATGTAAATCCTCCAAGTCATGTGCATATAGGTAAGCAGCTTTGTGGTAGTGTAATTGAGTCACATAAAGTTTTCTTAGTAAAGGTGACGCGAATAAAGTTTTGGAACTCTGTAGGATA